ATTTATCTTCATCCCGTTATCAACATTTCCCCTTTAAATTTACTCATAAAAGCATGTTGACTAATGTTCTCATTGACGGCCCTTTCTTTTTGATAGCAATTCAAGGTAGTTGGATTTTGGACGACTGCACAAAAAAGGTTTGCAATAATAATGTCCTTATTGTATCTAATCAAATTGGAACTTCCAAAGTCATTGAAACGATGTAAAAATTGAGGCCATTTTGTTCCCCCTAGCCACGGCTAGAAGACTAAGCGCCGCCAACACATTCAAAACCGTACGCACGTTCTCGTTCGCGCTACATCAAAGTCAAATCGCGACGGCTTATTTACATTCCCAAAAAAGCTAATTAGCTAACTTCATCTTCTCACGATAATAGAGTCGTTTATGTCGTCGAAATGAGTTGCTGACTGTCTTTGTCCAACAATTCTAGAATGAGGTGACGTGGATGAGTCCAACTTACTACTTTGGACAAACCTCGACGTCGTTTTCAAATTCTTTGTCGTCCATTTCTCTTAGTTCAGCAGCCATGAGGGCATCAAAATCATCACCTCCAGTATCGGATTCTAAATACATGATCAGTCAGCTAAGGCTTCATGCAAAGTTTGGAATTAACCAGTTTTCAAGCGTGAAAGCAAGTCAGCAGCTGATTCGACTCCTCCATCTGGAAGTTCTTCGTCAACATCTTCGCTGTCTGATTCCTCCTCATCGCTGCTTATGAAAGCTGCTTCATCATCAGATGATAACTCCGCCGGTTCAGCAATATCAACTGCTTCATTATCTGGAGCTTCCTCGTTCTCATCAGTCTCCTTCTCCTCCTTCTAAACACAGGGCATATGACATGGATTAATCAGTCGGAAACTTATGAAGGCTACAGAAACCAAACAAATCGATTTCTGCCAACAATTAATAGAGAAGAATATATCACATATAATGTAATGATTACTAGGGATGGGACTGAGCCCTCATAGATTCGAACCTTACCGTGAAAAGTCCATGCGGATCGCGACCCGTTTTACTGCGTAGAAAACTTTCGTCTTCCAAAGTTTGCAAAAAATGGCGACGGTCGTTCGCAGCAAAAGCTTTCAGGAATATTTCGAAGCGTTCCAGATTCAAAATGCCTGATTCGTTGATGTAACCTGAAAACGAGAGAATAGAGACAATTTAGAAAGATCAAACATAACGGCTCATAGACCATTTCCGGGGCGGGAAGCGTGTCATAGGCTACTTTTCGTCATTGATCGATAGAAATTTTATCGATTTTTATCGTTTGTAAAGTTTGACCTACGGGGCTGGGATTTGGCATAGGGGGGTAAGTGAGCATGCTGAT